ACGCCGCTCGCGTGAGGTTACAGAACTGCTGCGCCCCATTTGCCGCTCCGTTGGAGGGGCGGACGTGCTCGGACACGGGTGTTTACGGCAAAGGACAGTAAAATGCTTGAGGAGAAGGATGCCACGCAGCAAGCGTTATAGTTGGGAAGGGAAAACACCTGCCATGGGGTCGGGAAAGACTCAGAGCAGCAATTACCTCCCGCAAGTGGCGCGGGCTCTGCAAGGGCCTCGTGACGACGTTCTGCCCCATCAGAGCGAGGAACCAAACACGAAGTGAAACTGGCCCTGAACAAACCCAAAGCAGTAAACCCGAACCAGAGCTTCGCGCCCAGCTACGCCTAAAGCGGAGCCAGAGCAGCGCAGCCAGCTGAGCCTAGCCTGGGGGCTGGAACCCAGCCGAACCATTTCCACCGGTGCTGAGCCCAAACCTGAACCAGGACCGCTTCTTAGCTCAGACCAGCTCCCTGCACGGAAGGCAAGAAGCTCCTGGGAGGCGAGACATCCCGCAGGGCCATGGGCAAATAAATCCCTGGGATGGTGTCTGCCTGGAAACCTGCTCTTTTCTGAGCCTGTGAAAGCACCGGGTATTCCCCACCTTCTTCCTCCTCGCCTCCTCCTGCTCCTTCAGGGCCTCCAGCACGGTCCGAGCCTTTTCGAAGGGAGGGATCTTCAACCTGAGAGAGTCCGGCTGTAACGCACGAGCCCGAACTCTCGGTTCTGGTGCGCGCCCGTGTCTACCAAGCGAGGAGGCCCAGCCGAGGAGCCAGCAAGCTCTGACAAACTCTTGGAGACCAAAGCTCCGTGGCAGATCAGCAGGTTACCTGTACAGGATCTCAGCGCGGAGATAATTCCCAATTCCATTGAAAAACTTCTGGTTTAAGAGAGCCTCGCAGATGGGCTTGTCAAAAGCTTTGTCGTCCAGGTTCTTCAGCACGTTCTCCCTGCAGCAGAGCACGGGGCATCGGGTAGGTTCACCCGGGCACGGCCAAAACGAAGCGGAGGGGGAGGGGGGTCTTCCCTCGGG